TGCAATCACTCCCAGCAGCAGCAGCAGCAGCGGGAGCAGCAGCAGCAGCAGCAGCGGGAGCAGCAGCAGCAGCAGCAGCGGCAGCGGAGGACCTTCCCCTGCTGCCGCTTCTGCTGCTAAGAGCACGAAGGGCCCCCCAGTTGCTGCTGCTGCTAGCAGCAAAAGGAGGGGGGCCCCCAGCACGTTGGAGACACCGGGTGTGAGGAGACGCAAGCAAGAGGCAGCAGCAGCAGCAGCAGCAGGAGTAAAGCCTGAAGCAGCAGCAGCAGCCCCAGCAGCAGCAGCAGCAGCAGCAGGACGCACATTTACTGCAGACTTTGGGGGGGTGCCTCGATGCTCTCTCCGAGCTGTCTCCTTCGAGGAAGCAGCAAGCCGACTAGGCATACAGCATATAAGGAGACAGCGCTGCAGCAGCAAAATGCTACAGTGTAGGAGGGCTATTAAGCGTTTGCTGCGACAATACCAGCAGCAGCAACAGCAACAGCAGCAACAGCAGCAGCAGCAGCAGCAAGAACAGCAGCAGGGGGAGCAGCAACAGAAGCAGCAGCAGCAGCAGCAGCAGAAGCAGCAGCGACACAAGCAGCAGCAGCAGCAGCAGCGGCCTGTGGTTTACTGCCCCCACATGCCTGAGGAGGGGGGCCTGCAGCGAGATATTGAAGTGCTGCGGTGTATAAAGAAGGGCTTCGTGTCTCCTTTTATTCAAGTGATGTTTGCTGCTTTGCTGCTGCTGCTGCTGCTGCTGCTGCTCTTGCTGTTGCTCTTGCTGCTGCTGTTGCTGGTGGTGGTGGTGGTGCTGCTGCTGCCCTTTTCTCTCTGCTGCTCGCTGCTGTTGACGGTCTTTGTTCTGCTGCTGCTGTTGCTGGTGCTGCTGCTGCTGGTGCTGCTGCTGCTGCTGCTGGGGGCTTCTGTGCCCGTAGCGGCGTCTATGGATGATAACTGCATGCATGTATATTTATATATATATATTTATTTATTTTAATTAATTAATGTCCTCATTTGTTTATTTGTTTATGTATATCTGTTTGTATAATAATATATTTATATATTATTTATTTTATTATATAAATATATAAAAAAATATATTTTTATTGTGGATATATTTGTATGTATATATTTATTTATTGACTCTACGTATTTGTTTGCTTATTTGTTCTATATATTTATATTTATATTTATATTTATATTTAATTAATTAATTAATTAATTAATTTATTTATTTATTTGTTCAGATAGTGGAGGTCTTAGATGATAGACATCCGCTGCGGCTAGGGGCCCCCCTTAGCCGCCCTGTCTTCGCGCTGCGGTATGAGGGGCCCCCTATTCCTGCTGCTGCTGCTGGAGTTGCTGCTGCTGCTGCTGCTGCTGCCGGTGCTGCAGCAGAGGCACCCCCTAAGAGGGTCTTGTTTGGAGAGAGAACAGGGTTTGTTTGCAGCAGCAGAGAGGAAGAAGAATCTGCTGATGCTTCTGCTGCTGCTGATGCTACGCCTGCTGCTGCTGCTCCTGCAGCAGCACCAGCAGCAGCAGCAGCGTCGCACCAGCAGCAACACAGAGCATCAGAACTAAGAAGAAGGAGGCAACAGCACTCCAACGCAACCAGCAGCAGCAGTAGCAGCAGCAGCAGCAGCACGGATGAACACGGGCATTCTGATGGCTGTGATTTCTCTCTGTCTTTTTCGTTTGATGCGTTTACTGCACCACCAGTAGCAGCAGCTTCTTCTCTAGAGTTAAATGCTGCAGACGCTGCGCTGCTGCTGTCTTCCGACGACGAAGAGCAGCAGCAGCAGCAGCAGCAGCGGAGAAAGGGAGCAGAGCAAGCCCTGCCGTGGCTCAGCCGAACAGCAGCAGCAGAAGCAGAGCTCTTCGCTAGAGAAGCAACAGATGCAGACTTCATGCCCTGGGATGCTGCACAACCAAGACCCAAAGGTATGCTGCTGCTGCTGCTGTTGCTGCTGTTGCTGATGCAGCGCCTGCTACACGCACAGATAAGGCCCGCTGTCACTGCAGCTCTTGCTGCTGCTGCTGCTTCTGTTGCTGCTCTTGCTGCTGCTGTTTCTGCTAGGCGTTTATTTTGTCCGAACCGCTGCTGCTGCTGCTGCTGCTGCTGCTGCTGCAGGTTTGCCTCTGGGTCTGCAGCAGCTGGCTGTTGGAGAGGTGCTGCGTCTGTCTACGCGTTGCTGCGGTAATGTGCTGTCTCTTGTCTCTCATTTTTGTTTGTCGCCCCTCTTCGCGAGCAGAAGAACAAAAATAAACTGCGAGTGGCAGGCAAGCTTTTTTGTCTCTTTATCTGTCTCTTCTTCTGTCTCCTTTTGTCTCTTTATCTGTCTCTTCATCTGTCTCCTTTTGTCTCTTTATTTGTCTCCTTTTGTCTCTTCTTCTGTCTCCTTTTGTCTCTCTCTATCTGTCTCTTCATCTGCCTTTTCTTTTGTCTCCTTTTGTCTCTTTGTCTCTGTCTTCTTCTGTCTCTCTGTCTCTTTATCTGTCTCCTAACCTCTCTCTTTGTCTGTCCTGGTGCTTTAATGGCTGCTGCTTTAATTGCTGCTGCTCTATTTCTGCTGCTCTATTCGCTGGTGCTTTAATTGCTGCAGCTCTATTTGCTGCTGCTCTATTTCTGCTGCTCTATTTGCTGCTGCTCTATTTGCTGCTGCTCTATTTGCTGCTGCTTGATTTGCTGCTGCTCTATTTGCTGCAGGTTGTTTATGTAGATGGCTGGCCGCATGTGCTGCTGTCTTCAATCCCAGGGGTGCCTATACACCCCGGCGATCAATTATTTGTAGATTTTGGGATGTCTTGGGGAGCAGCAGCAGATGCAGCAGCACTAAGACATGCGCGGATACAGCTGAGATCCCTTAGAATGTTAGAGAGGCAGGGCGGCGCTGCTGCTGCTGCTGCTGCAGCAGCAGTAGCTGCTGCTGCTGCTGCACCAGACCTAGATGAAGATGAAGATGTATACACCTCCGATCAGCTCTGTGCCCTTTGCTACTCAAACTCCTCTTTGCTACTCAAACTCCCTTCCGCAGCAGCAAAAACACAAAGAAACAGCAGCAGCAGCAGCAGCAGCAGCAAAAGAGCAGCCGCACAAACGCCAGACACCGCAACGCCGGCAGCAGCAGCAGCAGCAGCAGCAGCAGCAGGACGAGGAAGAAGAAGATGCAAGCAGCAAAGAAGAGGGAATTGTATGCGACGGCTGCAACAGAGCCTTTCATTTGAGGTGTATCGACAGAGACAACTGCAGCAGAGCACCCTCACAAGAGCTTGAATGGTTTTGCTGCTTCTGCGTACAGTTTGCTAAGAGGGTGCTGCGGGGGGGCCCCCTGGGGGCCCCCCTTAACTCTGCTGCTGATAGAGAGGGGGCCCTAGCTAGTTCTGTTGCAGCAGATGCAGCAGAAGCAGCAGCAGCAGCAGAAGCAGCAGCAGCAGCAGAAGCAGCAGCAGCAGCAGCTGCTGCTGCTGCTGCAGAGCTCCCTCCCCCAGACCCCTCGCTTGTGCTGCCACCAGGCCTCAATGAAGCAGCAGCACTGGCAGCAGCAGCATCTGCTGCTGCTGTTGCTGCTGCTGATGCTGCTGATGCTTCTGCTGCTTCTGCTACATCTCCCGCAGCTGCAGCAACAACAGCAGCAGAACCTGCAGCAGCAGCAGAGGCTCAGGCACCAGGGTCTGATGCAGCAGCAGCAGCAGCAGCACCTGCAGCAGCAGCACCTGCCGCAGCACCAGAGTCAGGCTTGAAGTCATCTGCAGCAGCAGAAGCAGCTGAAGGGTCTCCCCCAGAGGCAGCAAAAGCCCCGCCAGGAGCAGAAGCAGCAGCAGCAACCCCAGCAGGCGCAGCAGCAGCAGCACCAGGAGCAGCAGGAGAAGCAGGAGCAGCAGCAGAAGCAGCAGCAGCAGCAGGAGAGCCCACAGGGTTTGGTGGGCGTGTGTTTCCTTCGTTTGCTGCTGCTTGCTGCGCTGCAGCAGCAACTCCGCCTCGCTCAATACGAGGGGGCCCCCCTCAATCAGCAGCAGCAGCAGCAGCAGCAGCAAGGGGGGGCCCCCCCCCGCTCTCTGGTGTCTCTGGGGGCCCCTCGCTGCCTGAGCGGGGGCCCTTAGAGATCCTTAAACCCTGCAAAGAATGCAGAAAACAATTCGGGAAGGATGCAAACCCTATTACTTGCAGGTCAGAACCACCACCGGGGTTTAGGGTTTAGGGTTTAGGGTTTAGGGTTTAGGGTTTAGGGTTTAGGGTTTGTTTTGCGTGTTTAGGGTTTAGGGTTTAGGTTTCAGGGTTGAGGGTGTGTGCTGTGTGCTAAGGGTTTAGGGTTTAGAGTGTGTGTTGTATGTTAAGGGCTTAGGGCTTAGGGTTTAGGGTTTAGGGTTTAGGGTTTAGGGTTTGTGTTTAGGGTTTATCAGCTGCATTTCGGTGCGAGCGCCGCTGTGGACGGCGACTGGGGACAAAATCCGCTCACCGTATCCAGGGCTGTCATTGGAGCTCGTAAGTTAGCTAGCTAGCTAGCTAGCTAGCTAGCTAGCCGTCTGTCTGTCTAGCTAGCTAGCGAACAATCTAGCTAGCTAGATGGCTAGCTAGCCATCTGTCTATCAATCTATGTAGCTAGCTATGAATCTATCTAGCTATCTATCTAGCTAGCTAGCCAGCTAGCTAGCTGTCTTCCCCTATCTATCTATCCATCTCCCTAGCTAGCCAGGAAGCTAGCTCTCTTTCTATCTAGATAGCTAGCTAGTTAGCTATCTAGCTAGAGGGTTTATTGTTTAGGGTTTAGGGTTTAGGGTTTAGGGGCATCACTGGGTAGCCAGCAAGCCATCCAGCCAGCCAGCTAGCTAGCTAGATAGCTAGCTAGCTAGCTAGATAGCTAGCTAGCTGCAGGTCTGTGTGTGTTTGATATGTGTGTTTGCTGCTGCTGCAGTAGCAGCAACAGTAGCGAGCTACAGAAGAAAAGAAGTGGAGGCTGAGGATGCCTTCAGAGACCCCAAGGGTGACCAAACATTTAACCTGTTTTCTTTGTTTGTCT